GGAACAACACTGAAGGTTGTTCTCTGAGGTACACAGAGACATACACACATTATTCAAGTGGCAAAAACCCCTTGAAACTGGTCAAGAGTGTTAGAATCTCTGGCCAGGATAAAGATCCAGCTTTCCTGTTTTGCCAGATCCCCTGGCCATGGGACCACTTGTAGGAGGGCAGATTCACCTTAAATTATGCTAAAGAGATGGGTGGAAGACCTAGTGTGTAAATGAGATGCGGAACTGTTCCTGCCTGGAATCCCCACCTTGTAGTGCAGTTCTTGGGGACCTGGTTGCAGACATGAGGTCTCCATAAGTCTTGCCTGCTTTTTGACTTCTTCAGCAAAGTGGAACATTTCCTTTTCTTCTTCATACCTCTTTTCTAAGCATGCTTTCTCTAAGCTGGCTGCCCAGCAGCCCAGATTTCTTTACTTTCTCTCTAAAGCTCCCTTCTCACCATGGGGCTGCTAGTCTGTCTGATCTCCATGCAGGCTCTAAACCAGCATGGCTGCTTGGCTTTTTTTCCTTCTCCCCTCCATTCTCTTCCTCAAGGCAGCTGCTGAGATTTACAGTTTTCCTGTCCTGAGGATTTTTCCTCAAATTCTAGTAAAATTGTCCTAAAGCTTCTGCTTGAGTCCATTCCTTTTTTTTTTTTTAATTATTTATTATTTTTATTTTATGTGTATGAGTGTCATGCAATGCCTCAGAGGTCAGAAGAGGGCTTTGGATTCCCCTGGAACTAGAGTTAAGGACAGTTCATAGCTGCCATGTGGGTACTGGGAATTGAACCGGGTCCTCTGCAAGAGCAGTCAGTGCTCTTAACTGCTAAGCCATCTCTCCAGCCCCCCCCCCCCTTTTTCTTTGAGACAGGGTCTCCCTGTAGCTGACCTGGAACTCACTATGTAGACCAGGCTGGCCTTGAACTCACAGAGATCTGCCCTCCTTTGCATCCAGAGTGCTGGGATTAAAGGCATGTGCTACCACGCCCAGCTCCCATTCTTAAAATTCTTTTACAGAAGAACCTGGCAAGGGGAGCCTGTTTTTCCCATGTATCAACATGACACATGCACCCATACACACGTAAAAATAATCACATACACACAGAAACTATCAAGAAGTGTTAATATTCACCTGATGAATGGATCAACAAAATATGGTTTATCTATATAATGTAATATTGTGCCTGGTCAAATGAAGTACTGTCATAAAACAGATGAGTCTGAAGAACATAAGTAAAAGAATTCTAGTTACAAAAGGTCAAAAGTGCATGGAATAGGTAAATCTACAATGGCAGAAATATATTGCTGGTTGCATTGGGCTCAGAAGTTGGGGGTGGGGTTGGGTAGTAAGTGACTGCTTAATGGTGTTTCTTTTAGGTATGATGAAATGCTCTAAAATTACATTCTGACTACATAACTAAATATAATTACAGATATTGATTTATACACTTTAAAGGGGTGAACTTTTCCAGGTGTGGTGGCATACACCTTTAGTCCCAGCACCAGGGAGGCACAGGCAGGAGTATCTCTGTCAGTTCGAGGCCAGCTTGGTCTACATAGCAAGTTCCAGGTCAGTTGGCGCTACAGGGACACCGTCTCAAAAAGACGAAAAAAAAGGGGGGGGGGTGAACTTTATGATATGTAAGTTATATATCAATAAAGCTGTTAAAATTTAAATGTTCTGCTTCACAATAAGGAATTTTTCTGATGTATAAAAAGATCATAGTTATCCTTACACTTCCCCAGGGATCTGGGGAGATTTTCATACGAAGTCAATGTTATTAATGGCAACCCAAATCAATTATTGGTGCTAAAATGGCATGAAAAGATGTTCATGTGCCAATGGTAGTGCCACTCATTTTTTGGAAGCCCCAGTGTCATTATTATCATCATCATCATTATTACTATTATTATTATTACTATTTTGGTCTCTTTGAGACAGGGTCTCCCTGTAGCACCACCTGGCCTGGAACTCACTATGTAGACCAGGCTGGCCTAGAACTCACAGAGCTCCTCCTGCCTCTGCCTCCCCACCTCCCCAGTGCTGGGACTAAAGGAGTTAACGCCAGGGTTAACAGTGCAGTTATTTTTAACAGTGTCTCTTTGTATCCAGCATACCATACTAAAGTCACAAGTCTTAGCAGTAAGCTAGTTTGGAGATCAAAATGAGAATATGGAAAGTATTTTTATGCTTTTTGTGGCAAAATTTATCCAGACTTGTTTGTAAAGGCCTTCTAAATTTGTGGCATATTGAAGAACTACAGAGGAATACAAATGAACGATTTTTATGGCACATTTTAAAAAAGTTATAATCACGGCTGGAGTGGTGGCGCAGGCCTTTAATCCCAGTACTTGGGAAGCAGAGGCAGGTGGATCTCTGTGAGCTCAAGGCCAGCCTGTTCAACATAGTGAGTTCCGGGCCAGCTGGGGCTACAGGGAGACCCTGTCTCAAAAAG